CGCGTTCCGTTTCACAAGCTAGAGCGGACGCCGCAGCAAAGGCAGCTAAAGTCAAAATAGAAATGGAATTTCTGGAAAAGGAAAATGAACTCAGGCGCATTCAACTAGAAAAGGAGTATGCGCTCGCAAAGGCAGAAGAAAGTGTGTTCAAAGAAATTCTAGATGAAGAATATAAATTAAACACGCAAACAAAACAGGGAATTAAACTCGAGGACAAGGAGATAAGCCCCCAACAACCTACAGCCTTCATGACAAGAATTGCAAAACAGGAAATGAACACCAACATCCCTCCTTTTGTGCCTAACACGATTCCAGACAACTTTGGCCAGCAACCAGCAAACAATATACAGAACTTTTAACCATCATCTAGTATAAGTTTCGCCCTGAACCAACTGGTCAACCTTCAAGCCCAACAAACGCAATTAAGCTCAGCACTAGTCAATCAACAAAGGACCTTTCACCTCCCCGTTAAGGAGACTCCGACATTTTCCGGCAACTCATTCAAATATCCAGCTTTCGTGACTGCATTTGATAGTATTATTGCCGCCAACGTCTCCGCTGATAAGGACAAATTGTTCTTCTTAGAAAAATACACAACCGGCAAGGCCAACGAGGTGGTTAAAGGTTTCCTAGCGACAAACTCTGAAACTGCATACAGCGAAGCCCAGAAACTGCTCGATCAGCGTTTTGGAAACCCTGTGGTGGTAGCCGAAGACTACAAAAAGAAACTTAGAGGTTGGCGACAGATCAGTGATGGCGATAGTAAGGGACTGGAGGAATTCTCTGACTTTTTGGTACGCTGTGAAGAGGCTATGAAGACTATGAAATCTGTCGGAGCTGGATTCTACTCAGATCCTACAGTCGATCTCCGCCAAGTTGCCATCGTACTCGGGCGTCAAGTGGTGTAGGTCCGCTCATGAGACTCAGGTAAAGGGAAAGAGGCTCGTGGGTTTTACGGACTTTGTAAAGTTTGTCAAACAAGAAGCCGAAGTAGCAAACGACCCGATCTTTTCTCCAGACGTGCTTAAGAGAGAAAGGAAAAGGAACGGCCCGGTTAGAGACAACACCCATGGCACAAGGTCGAGGCATCAAGGTGGAATCAATCCAAGTCAATCATTGGTCACTTCTACTACTCCAGTAGGCCACTCTGAACAGACACAATCAGCAGCCACATCGTGGCGCAAACAGTCCTGCCCAGCCTGCAATGGCAAACATACAATAGCGAAGTGCAGCAATTTCACCAAGGCTACTGCAGACAAGAGGTTGGATCTCATCATCGAGAAACGCCTATGCTTCAGATGCTTCAGAGCAGGTCACGTTTCCGCTGACTGCACATCCAAGCAAACCTGTGGTGAGTGCGGAAAGCGTCACACCTTGCTACACGGAGCGACTCTAAAGTCAAAGACACGCAGCAAGCAAACTCCGCCAAGCACTCAGTCGTCACGCAATCCACCCCAACCCTTGCAACCAGACCACGCTGCCGAGTCTGCTCACTCAAACGCTGCCAGCGTCTCCCACAGTTCTGTCGGTACATCGAACGCCATCATCATGTGTCGAATCGTGCCTGTAGTCCTGTACCATAAGGATAATCCCAGCAAAGAAATTAAAACGTACGCACTCTTGGATGACGCTAGTGACACGACGTTCGTGACAAATAAGGTAAAGAGCGAGCTTGGAGTTGAGGGAGTCGACACAAGTCTCAATTTAAGCACAATGCACGGCCGCAAAGTAATCCCTGTATCCCGTATCGACGGATTGATAGTGGAGCGCCCCGACAGACGCGCGCAGGTCGAACTCCCTAAGGCGTATGCAAGAGACATAATCCCATCCAGAAAGGACCAAATCCCAACCCCAGCAGCAGCAGACAAGTGGCAACACCTGAAGAAAATAAGGGACAAAATACCTCCGCTAGACGAAAACCTCGACGTTGGAATACTGATCGGATCCAACTGCCCGAAGGCGATTAAACCAAAGGAAGTGATAACTGGTAAAAGCGAAGATCCA